GGGTGCTGCTGGGTTGGTCCCCGCAGCGCCGAGGTTTGGCGCTACCAGACCAACCCAGCAGCGCCCCAGCTGCTCTGTCCCAGGCGTTCTGATTCAGCCGCTGCTAAAACTGACCAGGGCTGACTCCAGGAAGCCCGGGGCAGAGCAGCTCTGCCTCTGATTTTCTGGAGTCAGCCGCTGATCAGTTTCTGCAGTGGCTGACTTGGGGACACCTGGGGCAGAGAAGCTGGGGTGCTGCCGGGTTGGTCCCGCAGCCCCGAGGGGCAGCGCTACTGGACCTACCCAGCAGCACTCCAGCTGTTCTGCCCCCTGCTTCCTAGATTCAGCGCTGGTCAGTTTTAGCAGCGGCTGAATCGGGGAAGCTGGGGGCAGAGCAGCTCCAATGGTCCGGCTGCCCGGAGCACTTCCTGATGGTCCGGCACCATCAAGAGTGCTGGACCGTCAGATGCCAGACCATCGGAGTTTTACTCTATATTGGTGTGAACTCTTGAAATTAAGGTCGAGAATTAAAATCAATCTCATCTTCTCCCTCTCAACTCTGGGATACTTGTTTTTTTGCTGCTGTGTTGTAGTGGGGGTGCTGTCTGCTCTGTAACCCGGTGTTCCCACCTGACTCTGCTGTGATGTAAGATTCCCACTGACTCACCCACTTGTGTATTGGCTCAGGCACCTAATTCCAGCTTGAGCAGATAACATTGCTCCTGGGGGGAGAAGAGAGGAGACAAAGGCAGGGAGGTGGAAACGACCATCTGGCTCGGGGGCAGGGCCTGGGAGCGGGTCAGTTTTTTTGGGGGAGGGGGGGACATGAAGAGTAGAGACTAAGCGGAGTACTGGGGGTTCAGGGCCCTGTTGCCTCCTGCCCCAAGAGGTCTGAGGCTGTCTGGCCCCTCACTTCGATGCCCACATAGAATCTGTGCTGTGCTGTGCTGTACCTCTCAGAAGCAATAAACCCTCTCTATTCTACTGGCTGGCGGAGTCTCATCTTGCTGGAAACAGGGTGCAGGGTCGGGGGATAACCGACGCGCTGCCATAGCTGCATACTCATTTTAAATTAGAGAGCTTGTGAGGCTGAAAGGAAGACGTTTACGATGTGAACGAAAAAATAATTGAATCAGAGCTCACTTAAAGCCAGTATTTTGGCAGTGGAGTCAAGTTAAGCTTGTGTACAGACATATTTCCACATGAATGCCAGTTTTCTAATTTAGCAGCCCTGCTATCCCAAATAGCACAGACATGAAGACTGGTCTACAAATAGCCAACAAAATAATATTTCAAATTATATGAAAATCACTTGAAGTTTGTGATTTATTTTTATAGTTCTCATATTAAAGTGATCGTTAGATTAAAAATATTTTTTCAAACTTTTTAAAAGTTACTCAGTTGACAAATGAATCACAGAGCCATGCAATAGCAGTAAGTTACATATAGCCAAGCTAATGTAACCAACACAGTTATATAGGATCCCTGTGCTAAACAGCTTACCATGTAACAAGGGCAATACAGCTAGAATGTGTTGGGGGGGGGGGAATGCAACAAAAATAGAAAAACCTCTTCACAGCATGTGCTCTGTTAGCACTACTTTTCTATTCTCACTGTGAACAATAAGGATACTAGGATATAAACCTCCATGATGTGCTTCTATGGGAGGTCTCAGAGAAGGTGAAGATATAGCACACTGGGTCAGGAAAATGTAAGGTGTAAGAGGCTGCAGGAGACTCAAGTGGAAGAAGGATGCAGGGCAAACATGAAGAGACAATGCAGCTTTGGTGGAACAAATGGGATGGAGTGTGTCAAAAGGAAAAAAAAAAACCACACACAACCAGGAAGTTTATCTGCAGAAAAAACTACATATGACCAGTATCAACTAGCCTACATTTTATCTGAATGTATGGGGCTCCATCCATTTTCATTGCTTGTGCAGATTTGGGTCTGAATACTAGGTGTCACTACAGCCATTATTTTGAACCTTAAAAAGACTGTGGGGGTGTCACAGTTTAAGACACACCTTTCCACAATAACAATGGTTGACAAACACGACCACCAAGAAGTAAAAATGATGTTCTCTCACCTCTTCCCTCTGCATCCTGATATGTCTTGCCAGTATAATTACTATAACTTGGCTACTGTACCTCACTCGACTTCTGAGCTTGAAAGACATTTTGAGCAATAAACTAATAGTCACTGGTTTTTCAGTGTGTGATTTGCTTCATAAATATCTGTATCCATCAGAGCCCAATGTTCCAAACAGATAAAAGAGGAGCTCAGCACACAAGTCTAAACATGAGATCTCCTTATTTGCAGATCACCTGTACAAATGGCAAGGTCTGAAAAGAACGTTACTGCTACTTCCGATCAGTGCTGCTAACAGACTTCGCTGAGTCCTGTACGATGTGTGTATGTGTGTGTGGAAGGGGAGGCCACAAGCATGCAGATCTGGGCCCTTGGAAGGGGCGTGGCCTTGGGCAAAAGAGAACTGGACTAGGAGTAGCCAGCCCTCAGCACTGGAGCACTATTCTGTGCAAAACTCCAGAGTTGTGTCTACACTGCCACCCCTTCCGGAAAAGGGATGCTAATATAGCACTTTGGAATAGGCAAATCCGCGGGGGATTTAAATATCCCCCGCGGTATATGCATTAACATGGCTGCCGCTTTTTTCCGGCTTATCTCCAAGCCGGAAAAAAGCGGCAGCCATGTTAATGCATATACCGCGGGGGATATTTAAATCCCCCGCGGATTTGCCTATTCCAAAGTGCTATATTAGCATCCCTTTTCCGGAAGGGATGCCATTGTAGACAGAGCCCAGTAGTGATTTAAAGGGTTCAGGGCTCTGGCCACTGCTGCTTTTAAATTTTTGGGCCCAAGGGCAACTGCCCCCTTGCTGTCAGTAGCCCAGCTTCCAATTAAAAGGGATGGTCATGAGACTATTATTTTAAATTTCACCTGAATTACAACTACTACTATGGAATATTAAAGAAACTCTCAAAGAACACAAAACAATCTAGTTTAGTTTATGCTATTTATTTTTGGACTTCTCAGCCTACACAAATTAAACTGATCAGTTTCACTTCAATTTTTTATATATATATATATAGTCAGTTTTTCTTCTGCTTCATACTTTTGAGTGTTGTTTCCAAAGAATTAAGAAACGTTGGGAATAATTTTGTTAATGTTAAGTTTCATAAAATCCTTCTGAAAAGAAACCCAAAAAATGTCCATTTGATACTAATCTTTTTTGGGAATATTAAAACACCTCAGTATATACTTGGTAAGTAATGTGCCAGCAAGTCATAAAGAACCAAAGTATATTTGTCACAATCTATAACGTAACACCAATAAAATAAGATAACTTAATTTTACTGCTGCTTGTATAAACTTTTGAGCATAAGCAGGAAATAAAATCAACACGGTAAATAAAATATAATGTAGTACTAGAGCCAAACTTTTTAAACTAATTTCTGAGAAGGGTTGTGAGGAAGTTTATTCATGCTAAACTTCATGGCGAGTGATGAATTATAATTTGTTTAGTACTAGACTCTACTAGTTCAAAATATTAAATCAAGACATTATCCAGTAAGTCCAAAGGCTTCATAAAAATATCATATACACAAACCCAATGCATTCAAGATTGGGAGAGCTTAAAATTCCAAAAGAAATATATGTTGGCCTTAAGGACTGATGTAAGACACAGAATTGCTTTTAAATACAATCTATACAATCTTGTTCTATTCTGTGTGTCTCAATCATAAAGCTTACTGGAAACTGGAATGGCTAAAAGCAACTTCCTATGGGTTTAGCCGTGCTTATATTTGTAAGATACCCAATACATTAACTTCTTAAATGAAAGTTTCAGCCTAATCATTTTTGTCCATTTCCCATCCTGTTCCTAAATGGACACAAATAGCATAAATGTCACCTGCATTAATAAGATCTAAATACGCACACTGATTTGATTTAATACATACTCTGATTTGGTTTTTCAGTTGCTCAGCCTCCTGGCGTAACTGGTCAAGTTCACTCATCTTCCTGTGCTAAAGGTGGGCTTCACTGCCACCTCTGAGACAATCAGAAATCTGAAATACAGACACACAATAAGGATTTATTAAAACAAAAAACAAAAACCCCCATGAACAGAGCAGAATGACCTTTCAAAGAACAGCTAGAATTCTACACAATATTTTATGATGGGTAAAGTCAGCTTCAGTGGGTCCCAGGCCACGTTTCTCAAATCTATTCAGAACAAGTTAGTCACAATCCTTCATATCTACTGTTCAGTACTTTATCCCCAGGACTAATAAAATACATCTAGGAGTACATCTAGACTGCGGTGCTATCTCCACTGTCCCGAAATAGCTATTCTGCATCTTTCAAACCAGCCCATTATGTCAAAATAGATTTCAAAATAATGGGCTCACTATTCTGATGTCACTGTAACCCTCGTTCCATGAGAGTTAAGGGATGTTTCGTAGTAGCGGTTTATTTCAAAATAAGACAACACAATTTGCATAGCTCAAATTGCGAGGCTTATTCCGAGCTAAGGCTGCATCTAGACTCCATTCCTCTTTCAAAAGAGGAATGTAAATGAAGGAAATCGAAAATGCAAATGAAGCGCAGATTTACAAATCTTATGCTTCATTTGCATATTGACATCTGATTGCTTTTTCAAAAAAGTTTTTTTCGGGGGAAAAAACCAAAAAGCCAAAAACCAACCCACAAAGCAGTCTAGACGCAGTTCTTTCAAAACAAACAAACAAACAAACCCACCCTTTTTGAAAGAACCCTTATTCCTGAAAAAATGAGGTTTACAGGGTTCTTTTGAAAAAGGGTTTTCCTCCCCAAAAAAGAACCATGTCTAGACTGCTTTAAAAAAAAACCAAAAAAAAAACCACCTTTTGAAAATGCGATCGGACGCAATTATGCAAATAAAGCATGAAATTTGTAAATCTGCGCTTCGTTTGCATTTTCAATTTCCTTCATTTACATTCCTCTTTCGAAAGAGGATAGGGAAAAAGGGTTTCAAATATCAGTGGGCGATTTGTTTTTGTCAAAAAAGACAAAGATGTCTCTAATATTTATAGACTAGAGTAACAAACTGAGAAAACACTCCAGGTAGAAATATAATAAATAGTTTTCTTGAAATTTGGTGACAGAGGAATAGTATTTGGATAGCTGAGAAAACAGGGATTCTTCGGGTACTTATGAGGCAGAAGTAACCAAAGGAACATTAGATTTTGATAAAAAGATTATTCTCAAGTACTTATTAGGGAACCTCATTTCGTTTTCTCTTACTAGGTATTCGAGATATACTGGAATAGGTATTTGTAATAGTTGTGTGTAATTCCTACTGCAAATAAACTACAGGATAAACAAAGTATAACTGAAAAACAAATATGAACTTAAAATATATTTGATCTAAATTCTGTAATATACAATTAAATCTGTTCTCATACTTCTCACAGAGCCCCATTGTAATGCTCTTCATGTAGCACATAAAAGGATGGCCACCGCAGAGAACGAACACAACCAATACAACTAAATACAAATAGCTAAATAACAACATTTCTCTTGTTTTGATATGAATTCTAAACACTTTCACACAAATATTCACCCAAAATTCTGTGGCTGAAACAACTTATACCTGCGTTAAGAGTTCAACTAAATTATTTCAGGCTTGATTAGAACTGTCAAAAGAAAAACAACTTTTTAAAAATAAATATTTTAGAAACTGCCTTGATCTTCCATATTTAGTACTATCCACACTGCTGCTGTTCACTTTTGCTATTTTAATATGTTCATACATTGATACATATATATTTGAATACAAATCTGACTTTTCTGCTCTTCTAATGTATTTTATGCATGTACAATTAATGGACACAATCTTGCTTTTAATTGCTTCTCTTGTGGCCATTATTACCTCTTTTTAAATAAAGTACTTCCATATTTAGTACTATCCACACTGCTGCTGTTCACTTTTGCTATTTTAATATGTTCATACATTGATACATATATATTTGAATACAAATCTGACTTTTCTGCTCTTCTAATGTATTTTATGCATGTACAATTAATGGACACAATCTTGCTTTTAATTGCTTCTCTTGTGGCCATTATTACCTCTTTTTAAATAAAGTAAACCTTCTGAAGTTTGAAAATGACAACACATACAACTTCTTATACTGTTAAAGTGAGTGTACAGAAATTGCAATATTGTTCAGAAAATACAAAACGCTCCTCTCCAAAAGAAACCACATTCTGGCAATTGTTTTAGAACAGCAATGAATGGTTGTCTACTAGAATAATGACCTAAGAGCTCATTGACACTTTCTATAACAGTGTTAGAACAGTTTCATTCTGTCTACAGTATCAATTACACAGTTTAATGAGTTGGAGAACCTACTGCTGACAGCCATTTTCTGCAACAGCTGGTTTTCCTAGTATAGATCCTGAGCTACTGGATAAAGCACATGCCTCTGGCTGCTGCATCCTAGTAGGAAATTGTTTACAGACATATAAAACACCATCCCAGAACCACAATGAACTTTCCACAAAAGCATCTTTGTTCCAAGTTATTATTCAAACCGTTTAAATATCTTCTGCTAAGTTTACAATACTTTGCCTTTAATAGACATTTTCCTATACAAAACCTTTTCCTTTAGCGTTCTAGCCCAAAAATCCATAGCTATCCCCAAATTTAGTTTCTTTTAATATGGTAGTACTAGGCACTAATGCAAATTGCAGAGGTATAGAAGGAATTCTAATGAAATTTACATTTAGGTGGGGGCAACAAGGTATAATGACTGTGGCAGAATTTTAGAGCTAACATAAAAGTGGAAGATTAGCTCAATTTTCTAGGCAGATTAAAAATCAATAAATTAACCTTAATTAAATACTTCAGTAGCATAAACATCCAAACTAAATTTATAAACATGACATTACTGATAGGCTAAATTCTTAAATTAGAACCCTTGTTAAAATACTTAAGAACAGTGTTTAGTATCTATAGGTTATAGCAAAACTTTCATTAAGCTAATAAACTGCTGTCGTATTTGGTTCTCCCTTTAAGGGCTATCTATAGCATGTATGATAATCTAAACAGAACTGATATTTACTTTGGAAAAGTAATTAGGTAACTAGAACAGATCCTTCACTACTAAAGAACATGAATGCTGTGCTAGCAGCTTTAGATATTATTCTATCAAGATGTAATCTGCTTAAAAAAACCCTCATAGGTAGCCCTTCTCAAGAGGAAAGATAAAAATAAATGCAAAGTTCCCTACCAGTCACAGTGATAAGAGATGGTATAGTGAAGGTAACTCAACAAGCAAAAGAGATTCAAATACCCCAGTAAAGAATGGTAAAACAGACTATGTGAAAATAAAGTTCTAATGCTCTCTAAATAGGGTAAACCCATAATTAGGTTGCTTTCTTACAGCTTTCTATCATAGTAAAAAGTTCTCTGAAGCACTTCAGAACTTTAAAAAGCTCCCAGAATCTGCCAAGACAAATTGACCAACCAAATATCGAAACCAGACTTCTTATACCTTTACTTATAAATATACTGCTCTCCTCAGCAGTCCAAAATATATTTATAAGATACACTTGAGTCAGCTCCTACCAAAAAATCATTAGTAGTACTGTTCAAGCCCAGAGGCTGTGTTCAGGTGGAATTAGGTCTTTCTCCCTTCAGGTTCCAGGGTCATAGTTAAGCCTTTGTAAAACTGTTGGTTTAGCTTAGTCACCCATTCAAATCCAGTTAAGACAAAATCTGATGAGAGCATTATGCTGTTCACTATCCTTCTGACCTATATTCACCATTCTGTTTTCTTTGGAACATTCTTTAATTTCAGAATATTCTCCATCAGAGTTCAGTACTAGGGACTCATCTACTGAAGTACACACCTGTCTTAAGAATGCAGCAGTCACTGCTCATCCTGTCTCTGAAGCTTAGCTCTCCCTGCTTGGAGTTGTTTGTCCTGCAATTTTGACAATGGCTAAAGTGGTTTTTAGCAGACAAGGCATCAAATGTATCACATTTCAGCTTCACCACAAATCAGTTGGTCTTTACTTACAACAATTTTAAGTTACTATTTAGATCTATTTCAACTGGTCAAGAACACAGAAATATCTACCATAAATTAGAAACTACAGTCTCTGTTACTACATCTTTCACACAGCTCAGCACTTCTATGAAGTGGTATGTTCTCATTTTACAGGTGGGGAAAACTAAGGACCACAAGTTAAGCAATCTGCTCAAAGTCACAGTAGGTTAATGACAGAATCAAGAATAGAATGCAGGTCTTCTAGCTTTCAGTCTCCTACTGGAGTCACTATAGCCTGCTGATGTCACCTGCAGCTGCATCTTTAAGAAGTCTGATATGGACTAATTATCACAGCAAGCAAAGGACTAGCTACCTGTCTGTCCTGTTACAGGACATGGTGTAAAATGGTGCCAATCTTCTACTCATGCCAGAAATTACTGAAGAGTAAAAACAATGAAATTAAATTATTCAGCTATTTATTGAAAGTGTTTAATTTTTCTTTTTAAAAAGTTTTTGTTTTTTAAAGAGATAAAAACTGATCCTAGGAACAGAATAAGTTTGAAGTTCTCTTTACAGTGATTGAGCCTGGAACTATCATGCTGGATTATTTGCATACATTCAGCAGTTTTTAAAGATATATCACGAGTTTCCTTCATGCTTGTGCCTTATAGCTTAATGTGGTCTGCAATGAAGGATACTACTGTATATGTGTACGCCAGCTGAGGTGGGACATTACTATGTAATGCCTTATAGCCACTCAATATATAAATGCAACAGCATGAAGGAAGTATAGGCCAATATGTTAAATAGTGGGTTTAGTGAACAAGTAGGGATGTAAATGTAAATGGGTAACTAGTTCATCAGTTACATGGTAAGCACCACCTTTACTGTGTTATGCTTACTAGTAACCGATTAACTGACGCCTGGCCTGGCTGTAGTAGTTCCTTCCTGCACGGCTGCTCCAGTCTGGCCAGGCCCACTATGCCACAGTCGAGGGGAGGTGGGGATTTTCTGCCTGGCTGGGCCCACAG